AGAGAGAGAGCGCCCCGGCCGCGCGCGCGCACACTCACGTCTTCAAACAACACGAGCGCTGTCCTCCTGCTCTCCCTCGCGCATATTAATCAAATCAATTGACACGATCGTAAGACCGCAGTTCATTTGGAGATTTTTAGAGATTAGAGACTCATGAAAACATCTCAACACTAAATTATAAAGGCCGGTCTCATATAGACGCTATTGACAGGTTCAAGTACGCCCACAAGCCGTGCGAGTTTTTCGTGTATTGGAGTTTGGCTGGTGGTTATGTATGTTGCCCGCATACCACCTCCCATGGCCGAAACTGGTATTATGACACCGGCCGGGCCGGGGCTAGTAATTTAGCATGCTAATTCAGGTTTATATCTCGGCAGCACTATAACTTGTCATTTTTTTAATGACATCATTGCATTTATTTCTTCTCATTCTTTTGATACGTGTAGCTCATTTGTTGGATATTTTTACCTCAATTTTTACATATGGCACCTTTAAGCACAATAAAAACAGCAACGTAAAATGTCCCTGGCTCTCTGCCCCGCCCTGCTTCATACCACAGTAACATTAATAAAACTTTAATACATTCGCTCATCCATGAACATAATTTCTGCCCAATCCCATTAAATTGCTTTCCATCAGCTGTTGAGGTGAAGACAACAACTCCAATGATTTCACACTCATTCACGGTGTCATCAAGCTACGCCTTTGTTTTTGTTTTGAATAAGCGACCTCTAGCAGCAAAACTTACATATTGTGCCTTTAAGACGTTTACATTACAAAAATATTCTATTTAAAATAAATGCAGTTCTACTTTATTTTCATCAAAGAGAAAATGCATCTGTTTCTAGAAAACTATATTTAGAAGCAATGGATATTAAATATAATTAAAAAAAACAGCCCTGAGGACCACTGCTCAAGAAACTGTACATAAGTGAAACTAGGTACAGCACAATCTTAAATTCAAACAACATTAAACTACTTTCAACTGCATTTTTAAAAGCTTTAACTCCAGACAATACAGAATCTCGCCTTGCCAATCACTTTGACTTCCATTCAGAAACCAACACCTATACGCCACGGTCTCCCTTTCTTCTCTAGTAAGTCACTGAACACATCTCAAACTCAAAGCAACTCACAGGAAAGTGCAAATATTTGATCTTGACTCCATAAAATTACAGGGTATTCAAGATAGTCTAAGTCTAAAGCTAAAAGAAGTCTTGTAAAAGTTAAGTGCCAGTAACTGTAGCGGTATTTAGTTGAATGAGCTAGTTTATGTTCATACTAAACACAAATAGACAAGTGTTCTGGAGTCACTATGACAGGCGCTGCTTCTCAGACCTTACTGGAAATCCGTCAGTGCTCTGCATTTGAGTCTGGGACAGGTCATGGCAGGTCCTCTCTGTACTCATCTTCCTTCTATCAGCTTTATGGGCCCCACCTGCCTAATGTAATGGAGCTTGTAAGGGGGTTGCAGTTCTCTCTGTGCTTAGTGTTTCATTTTTCTGTCACCCCCCCCCCCGCCCTTCTCTTCTCTTCCCATCTGCAGCTTACCTGACAAATGCATACTCGTGTGTATATGTGTTTGCAGTGTTTTGTTCATAAACAAATCAGTCTTTTAATTAAACGCTTTTTCACAAACTGACTTTTTTTTATTCACTTTAGTCTCTCTCGACTGCTTTCTTACCTTTAAAGATGAACTATAGTGCATAGTACACTAGTTGAACTAACATCATTGGTTAGATCTATTGAATGAAGACATTCCCCTTCACTGCAAGAGTTATTAGTTGTGTCCCAATATTAGGGGTGTAACGGTTCACAAAATTCACGGTTCGGTTCGATACGATACACTTGTGTCACGGTTCAGTACGGTTCGGTACGTTTTCGATACAGCAAAAAGAAAGAAATGACAGATAAATTTCCTTGATTTAATTTTTTTTTAATTATATTTTTATTAAAATTAACATCATAAAGTATGATATTTTATTAGTTTGAGCAATGACGGAGCTATACTTGACTTTTCTTAGGAGCATATAAAACAAAACAGCTCCTTGGACAAAATGAAATGTAATATTGTAGTAATTATAAACAAAGGTTTATTTTGGTTCAGATTAATAACAGATTGGTTGTAGATTGCCCTACAATCCATCGCGTTCTTTAAGATCCCTAAATTCGAGGCTTCTGGTCATTCCTAGGATATCTAAATCCACTAAAGGAGGGAGGGCGTTCTCACATTTAGCTCCTAAACTCTGGAATAGCCTTCCTGATACTGTTCGTTGCGCAGACTCGCTCTCCCAGTTCAAAACTAGATTAAAGACGCATCTCTTCAGCCAAGCATTCACATAATGCTTACCTTCTATTGTTGAATCAGATCGAATGCATTAATATCATGAACAGCAGCTACGCTAATTATTTCCCATCTGTTTTTCTGCTGTTATCTCGGGACGCTAGTCCCGAGGTAAATAGCTTTCGTCAGCTCCAGTTTGTATCCAGCCTCTCACGGAGACTTCTGATGCCCCAACGCCTGCAATGAGACGACTCGACGCCTGTGAAGAGACGACTCGACGCCTGCGAAGAGACGACTATATGCCTGTGAAGAGACGACTCAACGCCGGCGATATGTTATGCCCTAAATTAATACATGATGATTAACTAACTATATTCTTCTATGTACATTTCTGAAATGCACTTTCTGTAAAGCTGCTTTGAAACAATATGTATTGTGAAAAGCGCTATACAAATAAATTTGAATTGAATTGAATTAACATTTGAGGGCAGCATTTTCATAATGTCAAAATAAAACAGGCGTAATGTTACTTAAAAGCATTATAGCCTACTAATTTTGCCAAATTTCCATGGTTACAGTTAGTAGTGTTACTACAGTAAATCCATGGTGAATGTTGCTGATCTGTGGACTGGACACTGGATAGTTCATTCAAGGCACAATGTTTCTTCCCGGTTTCCACATCAGCGCTGTTTTGTCCGTTAATAACGGAGAAATGTGAATGTCAGAAAAGCAGTCACTGAGGCACCAACAGACTTTTATCAGGTTTTTTTGGGAGAAAATTGGAGCTTTAGCCTAAATTTAATTTCTTCATTTCCATATCTGTTTGTTTCACACCGACATAATGAGTTGTTTCTGCGGGAGTGTGGCCGGGGCCTTGATACCGCGGCTCCACTTCACGCTCACTACTGTGCAGACTCGGGTCCCGAATCAGCGCCATATTGGGGCATTGGCGGCTTCACTGTTCTACAATGGAAGCGAGTGAAGGTGCGTCGTCCATCTTTTTTTTTTTTTACAGTCTATGATTCTACCTATAGCCCCTTTAAATAAGAGCATCATCTGGGTATTTAAAGTGCACGTTTTCTTGCAATGTTGCAATTTCAGATACACACTACTCACGCTATGTATACTACAAAACGGCATAGAATAGTGCATAAGTATGAAAAGAGAGACAAACCTGGGAAATGTTTGTTTCGTGAACAATCAAATTAACTAGGAAATGTTTCATTTGTGAACAAATCAAATTTAATGTTTTTTTTTTACATTTCAAATCTGATGACTCCCATTGCATGATGGGATAGTGAAGTAATTGCCACTTATTTAAGTATTAAAGTATGATTTTGCTACTGTTTCATAAATACTGCATATTCAGCCATTCTGCTTATCTGGCATACTTTTTGCGTACTATGTAGGTATGCAGGTACTCAGTTCTCGCCACCTACTGGCGTAACGATGTAACCTGCAAAAAGAGTCACTCAACAGAACAAATCTTTTTGGTGTATTCAAACCCAGACAGCAACATAGTGTCGATACTATGTTGCTGTCTGGGAAGGCTCGAATCACTGAGATGAATAAAATGTATGCGTCTATAATCTCAGAAGTACACAGTCAACACACCAATATGCACAGACTGCCAAAACACATGAGCTAGCCTCAATCTTCCTGACCTCTACCAAAGTCCCTTTAGGTATATATAAAGTCTTTGCCTCTACTCGATTAAAAAATAAACACAGATTTTTAGGCCAAGGCAAAAACAGGACTTTCCACTTCTAATATAGGCCTAAATATGAGCCATGTATGGTTAGGTTTCTGCTTAATGACATCAAAAGCGTTTAATTGTGCCTGTCATCGTGTGTGAACGTACCTCGCATCTCTAATAACGGCTGTCAACATTAATAGCAACAGCTTGAAATACATTTTCTATTCGTGTACGTGCCGACAGTAGAGCAGGTCGAGACACACACTGCGTCAAAAAAAAGCTACGATACATAAATTCAAATTTAACATGGTATATCTGACAAGCAAACATTAGCTTCATAATCACAGTCCCACTCCGGACTTGCTTGCATTATTCTGTACAAACGTAAGAGGGGGGAAACGCGTTCAAGGTTAAGCACAGGGAAACAGTAGGAATAAAATCTAATTATTTAACCATGCAACCGACCCAAGTTCTCAAACTCTGCGGTATTGTTCTTCGAGAAAGCGACTTTTCCTGTTTGGAAACAATATTCTAGAATACGTCGGGTGTACGTGGCGAGGAACAAATCGATTTGACATTGCTCGCGCGCGACAAACTAAGTGCAAATAGAGCGTAAATGTTGTAAATGTAAACTTTATTTCGCTAGTATAATGCGATGCTGCTGACGTAGAACATCACAATCATACTGAGGGAATCTCTGTTTCAGCCCCCTAAAATCAGAACATACTTAATTATGTTTCAGTTGTCGCTCGACTAACGTTACTAAACATCCCTCGTTTGGAAAGTCCCGGTTAAGTTTACAACCGCATCGCTACGAGGCTGTTTCCTACATCAGCCACAAAATAGCTTGACTAAAATCACCGCAGTCCGGCGTATCGAGCTCCTCCGCTGCAGCGAACAGGAGGGGGAGGAGGGTGGCAAAGTTGCCGCAGTTTGGAGTTGTGTCTGGGGGCAAGCTTCGACCATTCAGCTCCCCTTCCACTAAACTAGCTTAATAAACCCGCTTCGGATTTCTCTTACCTTGAGCACCAGGAGAAGAGTAGTGAGAATTTTTCGGAGGTAGCTCTCTGGAAGGGCAAACTACTCAGTCGCGTTTGACTTTTTGAGGATGAATAGATCAGCTCTCAGCAGGGTCCTCGCTAGTTCCTTCACTCACCCCCTCCCTTGCGCCACAAGATCAAACCATCACATTCCTTCGATATCCAAACAATGAAAAAGGTGGGTTTTCCTTTGCCAAGAAAGACCCACCCCTAGAACGACTACGCCGCTTGTGACCGCAGAAAGAACGCCCTGCCCGGGTAATACGGTCCCGCCTTCCCCGAGAGAAAAGTGAAAGAGTGGATCAGTCGAGAGCACTAGAGGAAGCTTGAGGAATAACGGAAACCCAGTTCACAAGCTGGACTTTATTTTTTAGCACTTATCAATACAGATGTTGAAACATTTAAGAAAATTAAATTATATATAATATATCCATTGTAATTTGTTTTGTAAACTCACTTTAATATATATATATATATATATATATATATATATATATATATATATATATATATATATATATATATATATATATATATATATTAAAGATAAAGTGAGTTTACAAAAAAAATTACAATGGATAATTCAAAAACGTAAATAAAAAACAATGTGACAACAGCATTATTCTCTGTATTGACAGAATGTGTGACGTCACTGCAAAGGTGAGCACTGCAGTGTCCTGGCAAGCAATGTTGCAGTAAAAAAAAACACACACACACATTTAAGCAATTCCTTGTAGAATGCAAATGGTTAATGTGCTTCTAAATGTTTTAAATGGTATTTAATTCCAATTTTAATGATATTTAATACATTTTAATTGTATTAATAATTGCACCATACCAGAAAACATTACCAGATATTAACATTACCACCCACAAATAGTATAACAAATATAATAATATTATATTTTACCCTTATTGTTTTATTTAAAGTCATATCTTGAGTATTATTGTTTTTGTGTAAAAAATATTTTAGTTTTTTTATGTGTATTGTGCTTGCAAAGCAAATAAATAGATCTGTTACCCAAAGGCAACAGTGCAGTAGAGGGCTAAATTAAACATATATTTCCTAACCCTTTAAACTCTTAATAGTGGTCAGAAATAGTGCAGAAAAAAGTTTCCAAAGTGGGATCTGACCCAGCATTTGATTGCTGGTGTACAGCCTCAACCCGCAAGCAACTACAAAAATCACAAACACCCTTATATTTTTAGCCACTATACGATGTTTCACCAAACTTTGATTGCATTCTTTTTACTCTTCATTAGAGTAATTTCAAAGCAATGCATAGTGGTTTCTCATTAGAAAACCAACTCTCTCGCTCCACTTTTTTGATGTTGAGAGGAGAGAAGGGGTGACTGTTTTTTCAAAAGAAAATTCAAGACAAACATTTATATCCACTCCAAATGCACACAATCCTGTTTTTGTTCCAAAAAGAAAGGAAAGCATTTATTTCTGAAAGCAACAACTATTAGTGCGGGGGCCAAGTTTTATTCTTGTGCTGCAATTTACTATTTAAGCACTCAGTAAACTCAGTGAACAGGCATACATTTATTATTATTACTACATGAAAAGTGTATGAAAAAGTCAAATCTGCCCACCATGGTAAGACAAACACTGCGGTCATGTATTGAGGTCCATGTGTAGGGACTGAAAACTATAATGAATAGGTTTTGTTGCTTTCAATGTATTAAAATAAGATAAGAGCCATCAATGAACCAGACTTGCTTTATCACAGTCCAAGCTTCATGCTCTGTTGGGGATGGATGGCAGTTAAAATTACTCTTTCTCCAGTGGCAGTGATCCTAAATAAGCACATGGCAGAAATAAAATGCTACAAACAGCCTACTGGCCTCAGAGTGGCTGAAGTGTAACCAACCAATAGTTACACCTGCCATAGTCAAGGATAATCTTCACCATATGCTTTTGACTTGCCTGTTTTAGGAATCTTATGCTGTATTATATTATCCTATTTATGTATTTGCCATATAACAGTATTTTTTATCATTTAACTGTGCCTAGTTCAAATTTACACTGTACTGTATTATATATCTTAGTTAACTGTCTCTTACTGCATGTTGCAAACATTAGATTAAGAGGGTTACTTTGCCATATAGGACATGAGTCAAAATCTGGAAATTAAATGTAACAAATCATTGGAAAATTAAACAACTTTTTATCAAACTTCGATGTTTGCCTTAATCCTTTAAACAACTGAGAAGTTAGTATTTATACATTTTATAAAAAATCCCCTGTCAAGTTTATAATACATGACATCAGCATATAGCTAAGAGTCAAATTGGAAGACCACATGGACTCATCTCAAGATCACTCATTTAACAGTTCATCTATTGCCAAAATTATGAAATAAAAGATCATAAAAGAACAATATTCAAATCAGGAATATCAGAATCAGAATGCGTAGTTGCATAAAAATGTCCGTCAAAACCAACACGTTGAACGATGTTCACTAACCCGGCAAAGTCTTTCATTTAGATTGGCGTTTATTGTCTTTAGCATGCAGTGTGAAGTATTTCACTCAGTTCCCTGATCATTCCGATTCAATTTCAATGAATGAAGAACAAATTTATACTCGCGTCATATGCGTTAAGTATAATGCACATTCCCTTTCGAAAGCACTGCGTCGAATGACGCTTTGGGGGAACGCCTCAGGCGTGACAGGTGTCTGAAATCACAATCAAATCACGGCAATCAGATTGGCCGGCGACAGCCCATGAATCATTAGCGTGCGACCTGAAAGTATAAAAGGGCGCCTTGCGAACATGATAACAGTGTTGTAATGTAACGGAGTACAAATACTTCGTTACTGTACTTAAGTAGAAATTTCACGTATCTGTACTTTACTTAGCTATTTAACTGTATGTCAACTTTCACTTTTACTCCACTACATTTCCTAGATAAAATGTATACTTTTACTCCGTTATATTTCCACAAAGAATCTTAGTTACTCGTTACTACAAAATAAAATCAGAAGAAATGTGTGCGACTGCAATAAGGGAGGTTTGGCGATTCACCATTCGTAGATTGCATTACGCTCGCTCTGCACGCTCTATTTCAGCGTAATGGTTGCCAAAGGAGGAGGAAGCACAACTGAAACCGCCATGGAAGCACGTACTGGAGGACCGGGGGGAAACTCCTTTTCCTTGATTTACTGAAGCCTATGTGTAAAACGCATTTGCAGCTGCACAGCTAGCACATTGAGCGTCTAGCTCGCTCATCGGCTGTGCTGCGGCAACTGCATATCCAGTGGCGCGGGCGCCTCTGACGTGCGACCAATGAGCTAGCCCCACGTCATTACACGTCAGAGCCTGGCAAGGGGGCGTGGCCTTAGCCTAATAGTCCCCTGAATTCGCCATTATAGCAGGTTTAACCTATGGGTTTAACGACTGAAGCGACAACTCACCAGGTGACTATAGTGCGGCCGGCTACGCAATACTCGTTCCCTCTCTCCTTTCGAACGGCCACAATAAAGTTCACAATCAAAGTTCTAACCACTTGCTTTAAAAAAAAAAAAACTTTTTACTTTTACTTCAAATACTTAAGTACATTGAATATCAGAAAATTACTTTTGATACTTAAGTACAGTATATATCAGATACTTTAAGACTTTTACTTAAGTAATATTCTAAAAGGTAACTTTCACTTCTACCAAAGTCTTTTTCTAGGACGATACTTGTACTTTTACTCAAGTATTGCTTTCTAGTACTTTATACAACACTGCATGATAATCATCTTTTTGTCTGAAGGGACTGTTCTGTTTGTAAATGCTGAAGGATTACGGTAAGATAAATTTTAAAAAGAAATGCACGGGGAAGGCTGATTGTTTTCAGAAGTGTGCTGACCGGTGCCCAAGATATTTGACGCCGGGTGACACACATGAACTGTGCGTTTTCTGTCTGGAGAAAGAGCACGCACAAGCGGTTCTCGAGGGAGCCGCCTGTGCAAACTGTGAGCGTTTTTCTTTTAGAATGCTCTGGCACGCTCAGGCTGCAGCTGCCGTGGCGGCACGTTAGGGCAGAGATGGCAAAATGACGATCGGTTTCTCCCCGGCCGCTGATGTTGAGGGGATCGGAGAGCATGGGTACGTGTCGATGCCGCCTATTGACGAGACGTTTCCAAACTATCTCGTGTCTGGGCGGGTTTCGACACTGAGAGCTCCAAACCTGCCATCCAAACCGCTGAAGACCACAGCACGTTTGAATGGCAGAGTATACACGGCAGGGTGTTAAGCCTGTGCTGCCCTTCTTACCATGGCGGTGTTGCAGGCATACCAGGCCGACCTGCTGGGGGATCTCGACCAGGGGGCAGGGATGTTTCGTCCTCAGAACTTTTTGGCACCCCCGTGGAGGCGGTGGTTGGAAAGTTCAGGGAGGCGAAGGCGCGCTCAGCTGCTTTCAGGACTTGTATACCGCTGAGATCCGGATCCACGCCCAGACAGGCGGGAGGGCCTGGCCCTTCACGGTCCGAGGACCGTAGACAGGGCCAGAGAGCCAGTGTCGCCTCTCGTGCGCCCCCTCCATGGAGGAGCAGGTCACAGAAGAGGCGTGACTCCTGCAAGAAGAGGGGTCTGAGGGAGGTGATCCAGCACAAACGGACGCAGCGTCGGTGATGGATCATCTCCCCGGAGGGTGTGTTACATCTCAGCCCTCTCTTCCCGACTCCCCAGACGTTTCTTACATGAGGCCTGGGGCTGGGCCCATGATGAGAACGATGTTCTGATGGCCTGCCTCGGCTTGGTTAGTGAGAGCGCCTCTTTCAGGCATATAAAGTGTAGACCCCATGTTCATAGAGAACCATCTGGTGAGTCTTCACTCCGCATGCCACAGGTGAGCTGAGTGGTCTTCTCTAAGAAATTTTTTTTTTTGTGAGCAACTAACACTAAAATGTATTTCTCTACAGACCTTTTGTTCCCTGTGTAGAGCTCATGTAGGGTCATGTTATTGTACATTAAGGTAAGGTAAACTTGGATATTAGGGCCCTGAAGTTCCTCTGTTAGGTGCACTGTTAAAGCACCAATTATATGGGCGTCTTTTGAAAGTATGTGATGGCTTCCTTTTTGTGTATTCACGGGGTGTGCTACCGCTCATTCTAGTTGTAAGGAACTATGTTAATAGCTTAGGCTTCCTGTCATGAGAGCTTTTTGAGGCCGCTGCTCATTCACATAAATGGAATGTTAGCGGAGCGCTAAGTGGCAGAAAGAATGGAAGTGTTTTATGCTGCCGCTTGTTTTATTTCTGAGACACATCTGTGTTA